CCCCAAAACCCCAAAACCCCAAAACCCCAAAACCCCTCAATCAAAATAGATTTAAATTTGAACTTAAATATTACTTAAATCTAGAATTAAAGTTTAAATTGGGAATATCTTATACAATCTCATTAACCCTGGAAGAGTGATTGTATGAATCTTTTGAACTCAACAAATGTTAGCTTGCCCTTGCCGATTCTATCTATATCCTTGATAGCCCTTTGCACCATTTTCTCATCAATCATTCTGCAAGCATCAAGCAACTCCTTAATCTCCTAAATGGTGACCTCGTTATTGCCGTCTCTGTCGAAGACTCTGAAGGCCTTTTCAAGTTTCTCATCACTAAGAAGTTTTTCATTGGAAACTGCTACGTTAATGAACTCTGAGTAGTTAATGTCTCCTGAGCCGTCAGCATCTACTCTTCTGATCATTTCATCTATCTCCTTCTCGCTGAAGTTTACACCTCTTGTTGTTCTATAGGCGTCGATCAGCTCATCCCTTGAAAGTACTCCGTTACTATTCTTATCGAATTGTTGGAAAAGAGCAGCTAGATCGTTGAGTTCCTGTTGTGACAGTAAGTTTTAAGTGAAGTAGCCTTGGACTGCTTGCTTCAATTTGCCACCAGCGTGGAATTTCTTAATGGAATTCAGAGCATCTCCTAGATCCTTAGACCTGAGTTCTCCCTTTTAGGCCTTGTTGAACCAAGGATGCTTAAGAGCATCTTAAGCTGAGATTCTATCTTCTGGTTTGTAAGCCATTAATCTAAGCATGAGATCCCTGGCCTCAATTGAAAGTGAAGTGAAATTGTATGAAGTTTAATCGAATTTGTATTCTGTGATGAGCTTCAAAGTCTCCTTGTAATCCCAGCCATAGAAGGGAACATCTCCAACGAGCAAATAGTACATAATAATTCCAACTGCAAACTCATCACACTTAATATTCCATTGTCCTTTTATTGTCTCAGGAGCAATGTAGCAGCCTCTGTATTCACCATATCTGAGGAACTTGTCGAGATCCTTGATAGGCTGATTACCAGCCTCATCCATGTCAATAATCTTGATTTCTGGGGAGCCTGGATTAACATGAAGGATGTTAATTGGAGCAAGTAGATTATGAGCTACACCCTTGCTATGAATATATAATACTCCATTTAGAATTTGCTTTAAAATAGTTGCACCATACTCCTCAGTATGTCTGCCCTGTCTCCAAACTTGATCAATAATGTCATTACCCTTAAGGCATTCACAAACCAAGAAGTAGTAGTGCTCGTCTTCGTAGACCTCTAGATATCTGACAATGTTAGGGTGATCATATGAGCCTAGCACTTCCATCTTCTTCAAAAATGCTTCAGTGCTGGGGTAGTCAGACTTTGACTTTTGAAGAATGGCTCTCTCGATGCCTGTTTTCTTGTGAATACCTACTCTGGCCTTCCTATAGTAGGAGTCGCTGTACATATCTCCGATCTCATAAACATTAGTGATCTTCTCACCTTTTCTGAAGAGCAAGCTTTTGCCTGTAACTTGCAACTTGTCCAGGTGGTCATCGAAGAAGCCATCTTCCTTCAGCAACTGCTCAAAGTACTCCCTGGAGAATTTGATGATGTCCTCTGGGTTGTTTCTGATCACCTCTTTGGAATAGTTCTTAAGGATGTTTGGAAGCTCCTACTGCACAACTATCTACTCAGCGGAGAAGATTCTCATTTCTCTAACGTCTGCCATTTTATTTTACTTGTTTCTTTGTATTCTCAAAGTGATTTATATATTTAATTGATAAGAATTATTTTAAATTATTTGAATATGCCTGGATGTGTCTGCAGGGGTTTTGGGGTTTTGGGGTTTTGGGGTTTTGGGGTTTTGGGGTTTTGGGG